GTCAACAGTTCTTACAGACTTATCCAGACTTCATTTCTGCAACAAATTTTGAGTGCCTGCCATGTTCTGACCATGAGCATGTACACTGAAGAGCAAATGGTATGTTCTTAGGGTTTGCATTTTACCAAGGGGTCCAGTGAACAGTTAGAAGTGAACCAACAATTATATAATTCAAAGTACAGTGTGTGCTGGGTGTGACTGGCTGTTGAGAGTATTTCAGACGGTGTAAAGCAGGCCTGTAAGGAGAAGAGGTGGATAGGAGAGACCTTCCAGGGTGAGGTGATAGCGAAGCAGTCTTGAAGGGTGAGTAGGTATTTTCTTGTTGGTAGATGATGGTTTACGCAGAATTTCTATCATTTTATTCCTTGAGTTAATTGTAGGGAATTTAAGAAGCTTTGGGATCGTGTTGTTTTTAATGAGCAGTATTCTTCAAGTATAAAATATACTGATTTTTTTTTTTCTGGAGAAACTACATTAAGAATCGTTTTTAATTGTTAGTAGCATTTCCTTTTTTTTTAAAAAAAAATGTTTTTATTGACTTTTTATTTTGGGGGCGGGGGGGAGAGAGACATCGATCTTTTGCCTCCTACACGCTCCCTACTGGGGATCAAGCCCAAAACCCAGGCATTTGCCCTGACCAAGAATCTAACCGGGACCTCTCAGTCCATGGGATGTGGCTCAATCCACTGAGCCACATCGGCCAGGCTGTTAGTAGTAAATCTCTGTGCTCTCCCATTCAGGACAAAACATAAGAATATCAGAACCACCATAAACTACATCTAAAGGTGATAGTGGGAAGCCTCTAAAATCGGTAAAATTCATGTTAACAACATTGATTTAATATGATGACACTGACTTAAAATTACGGTGGCATTGATATAAAAAGTATAGCCTGCATTCTATATAGGTGCAAGTCAATTTTTACATAGTCTCCTGAAAGATATTGGGTTATTCATTCACAAATGTGGGGGCTCTGCCCAAGTTTCTGGCTGACTTGTAAAATCACTAATGATTGTGGTTTTCTGACCAGTGAATCAGGGATCACATCATCTTTCCACCAGGAGTGTTTCTTGAGTTCTCTAGTATACGTGTGTTTAGAGAGAGAAAAATCACTTTTAGTTGCTCAGTTGCTGTTGTATTATATGTGCATTTGTTTTGTTTTGTTTGATTTTTTTAATCCTCACCTGATATTTTTCTCAAATATCTTCAGATAGAGTGGGAGGGAGGGGGAGGGAGTAATAAACATCAACATGAGAGGGACACATCTACTTGTTGCCTCCCGCAGGAGCCCAACCAGGGCCGGGTCCTTTGCTGGAATCGAACCCGCCTACTCTTTGGTCCACAGGCTGACGCTCTACTGCTGAGCCAAACTGGCCAGGGCTGTGTGCATTTGTTTTATATCTTCCCTCAAAGGTTATCATTACTATGTTTTCCCTTTAATTGCTGCTTGTTTCATAATGTGATCAGAGACTTGCTAGTTATTTAGTTCAGTTACATATTTGGGGGTTTAAAGTAGTGATTTGCACAAGGCTGTAGAGCCAAAACAGAACATTGAGGCTCCTGGCTCCCAATCTAGAGCTCTTATTTTTTCTTCTTTGTGTGTTTCAAGAGTTTAATCCTTACTTTGTCCTCCTTTCTTGTTCATTATCTTGCATTGAAAAAAAACACTCCTCTACACAGTTTCATTTCTGCTTAAAACCTGTTTCTTCAGGGTTTCAGTGACTATTCAGGCTGAGAGATGGCTTCGCCTAGGACAGTATTGCTCATACTTGGAAAACAGCCCCCCCCCCTTTTTTTATTCTCACCCGAGGACATTTTTCCATCTTTTGTTCAGATAGAGTAGGAGAGAGAGAGAAACATCGATGTGAAAGGGACACATCGAGTGGCTGCCACCCGCACGACCAACCAGGGCCGGGGACAAACTGCAACCGAGGTACATGCCCTTAGTGGGAACCGAACCCGGGTCTCACTGGATCGCACCCCGCCGCTCTAACTGCTGAGCAAGGGCAGGAACAGCCCTTTTTAATGGGGAAAAAAATCTTAAATGTCGGGGGGGGGGGGCTTGTTGTTTTTCTACTTGTAATTTTTATTACTCTGTGATGTTACTTAGGCACCTACAGAACAAAGCTAGATACAACCCTGTTAGTCGTCCCTCGCCACTTCGACTTGGTCACAGCTTCACTCTTTAGCCGCGATTATTTATTTATTTATTCTGTATAAATAAAGAATCCTACTTTGCCCTGGCCGGTTTGGCTCAGCGGTTAGAGCGTCGGCCTGCGGTCCAGAGAGACCTGGGTTCAGTTCCCGCTAAGGGCACGTACCTCGGTTGCAGTTTGTCCCCAGCCCTGGTTGGGTTGTGGGGTGGCAGCCACTCAATGTGTCCCTTTCACGTCGATGTTTCCCTCTCTCTCTTCCTCTCCCTCCCTCCCACTCTGTCTGAACAAAAAATGGAAAAATGTCCCCGGGTGAGGATTTAAAAAAAAAAAGAATCCTACTTCGTGGAAATTCATTTTCATAGTCGAGTCTGGAACTGATTAGCCGCGATAAACGAGGCGGACTGTAAACCTGTTGCTCTTACTCGGCTATCAGGCCAAATGATTTTATAATTTGAATACAAATAAAGCCTCTAAAACCAATAAAATTTAAATTAGCGACATTGATTTAATCTGATGGATTTTGTGATTTTGCTAAAACTAAATCACTTTTTATTGGATTTAATGGTAGAAAGATGCAGGGTTGTGTTCTATATTTAGTCTGGTCTTGTGTTTTCATTTCATTTCTAACGCGGAGAATGCCTGCTTTCATAAATCGTTTGTACAAGTATTAAGACTTTGATTACAAGTTGAGGATGGTCAATCTCCACATTTAACCAGACCCTGCCAGCAAGCAGGCCACTTTTTAACTGTAAAGGTAAATTTAGAATTCAGTGCTATTTAATCTGTTACAGCTGGAATCAAAACAGAAAATATTTATTTCCTACTACTATTTATCGGTGTGATAAAATGAACCTGGTACAAGGCCAGAGGAAAGCTTGTGCTTCATTTTGATAGTGAGTAGAACTCAGAGTACTTGTAAGTTTAGGATGCCTGGTGCTGTGCTATGATTTCTTTCTCCATTTTCATCTGTTCAAATTACTAAGAAACCTTTCTTACAGTACAAGCTGACATCCTTTGCCCTATGGAGGCATGATTGTATTTTAAAATGCAAGCCCAGAGCCTGGCCTGTGTGGCTCAGTGGATTGAGCCATGTCCCATGGACTGAGAGGTTTGAGCTTGATCCCCAGTAGGGGGTGTGCAGGAGGCAGCCAGTTTATGTTTCTCTCACATCATTGTTTCTGTCTCTCTCTCCCTTCCTCTCTAAAGAAAAATCAATAAAAGCATTAAAATTTTTTCTTCTTTATTGATTTGAGAGGGAGAGGAAGAGAGAGATAGAAGCATCAATGAGAGAGAACATCAGTTGGTCGCCTCCTACATGCCCCCCACTGGGTATTGGGCGGGCCTACAACCTGGGCATGTGCCCTGACTGGGAATCGAACCAGCCACCTCTTGGTGCATGGGTCGATGCTCAGCCATTGAACCACACCGGCCAGACAATAAAAATATTTTTAAAAATAAAGTAAGCCCTGGACAGTTTTGCTCAGCAGTTAGAGTGTCAGCCTGCGGACCAATGAGTCTTGGGTTCAATTCTGGTCAAGGGCGTGTACTTTGGTTGTGGTTCGTCCCAAGCCCTGGTCTGGTCATGCGGAAGACAACCAGTCGATGTCTCTCTCCTCTCTCTCTCTCTCTCTCTCTCTCTCTCTCCCCCCTCCCTCTCTTCCTCCCCCTCCCCCTCCCTCTCCCCCTCTCCCTCTCCCACTCTATCTGAACAAAAATGGAAAAATATCCTCGGGTGAGGATTGAAAATAAAATAAAATGCAGGCCCAGATAACTGGCCAGTGTGACTTGGTTGATTGGAGATTGTCCTGTACACCAAAAAGTGGTAGGTTCGATCCCCAGTTGGGGCACATACAGGAGGCAACTGATCAATATTTCTCTCTTTCTCTTTCTCAAAGCAATAAACAGATCCTTGGGTGAAGATTTTTAAAAAATGCAGGCCTAGACATTGCATGGTCAAATATGTCCAACGAGCCTACAGTGTGTTTTGTTGAAGTGAAAACACTTATGTTTTTTCATAGATAAATCTGGGGCCCTTGAGGAGATACTCCTAGTTCTCTAAAAAACACTGATTTGGGGAAGGGTTCTCAGCAATTCCAGTCTCACATTTTAAAACGGAATTCTTAGAATCAGCTCAGTAACGTGACAATCTCAAATATCCTGCTATACAAGTACTAATTCATTTATAAGGCCGGAGAAGAGAAGACAAGATGGGAGGCAAAAAGAGCTGGTCTGGTGGGCAGGCTGTAGGTGACCCGGGCCGATGGGGAGGCTGAGGTGCAAAACTGAGGCCTTTTAACAGCACTCATACACAAAGTATCCTGAACAAGTCTTAACTCGGTAAAGAGGGTGGCAACAAAATAACCTCTGAAATCCTGGCTAAGGTTTAATTTTTTTTTTTTTTAATCCTCACGCGAGGACATTTTCCCATTTTTTGTTCAGGTAGAGTGGGAGGGAGAGAGAGGAACAGAGAGAGAGAGAGAGAGAGAGAGAGAAACATTGATGTGAAAGGAACACATCGAGTGGCTGCCACCCGCACAACCGACCAGGGCCGGGGACAAACTGCAACCGAGGTACATGCCCTTAGCGGGAACCGAACCCGGGTCTCTCAGGACCGCAGGTCAACGCTCTAACCGCTGAGCCAAACCGGCCAGGGTGTGGCTAAGGTTTAAGATTCTAATTAGGCGTTAAAACAATTTTTAAGTGTCCTGAAAATCCAGCCAAAGAGCTAGTTAAACTATATTTTTGTCTCTTTACCTACAATTTGTATCTTTTCGGATATTTTTAATTTTTACATTAAATTTTATTTTTGCTTCATTTGACTAATTGGGGTTCTTCTCCCTACAGTGAGAGGGTCCAAGCCTGGTAAGAATGTCCAGCTACAGGAGAATGAAATCAGAGGACTGTGCTTAAAATCCCGAGAGATCTTTCTCAGTCAGCCTATCCTACTAGAACTTGAAGCACCACTCAAAATATGTGGTAAGTCTTGGCACACTAGCATGATTACGTGATGGAGTTTGATTAACCGAGGCAAGGATATATAGATGACCTTGTATTAGCCAGCAGAATCATTTACTACTTATGAATAACCTGGAACTACTTGAAGTTAAATTAAATAATTGTGGCTCTAGAATAAATACTTGTAATGGGCTTAGTTTACTTAGATGTGCTTCAGATTTTCTAAAAACTATTTTGCTGAAGGAATATAAACATTGCAGAGGAAATGAAATAGAGAGCTAAGAAAAGGTCTGAACTATATGAATATATAGGAATTACATTTAAGCTCAAAGTAGAACTGGTTGTGCCTAAAAATAGACCTTCCTTGGGTGCCGATTTATAGTTCTACTCTTTCTACATGGTAGAAGCAGATAATCTGTACAAGAACTAAACTTTGTGCAATGCTATATTTTTCTAGCATAATTGAGTACGTTGATAAAGCTTGTGTGTGTGTGTTTATAAAGTAAATGCTCTTTGGCATTATTATCAGGGAGAAATTGAAAGCTGAATATATTGATGGGTCAGCAAGTGTGTATGTTTGTTCACCTGGGGCCAGGGCTCACTAGAAGTGCAGTAATTCTGCTGACACAGTGCCCAGAGACTGAGCTGTCAGAGATCTGATATTGATCACTGACCTGAAAGGAAAACCATGTTACTTGGCAAGAAGGCCTGCCTCGGCATTAATAATCCTTTCCACAAAATAAATTCTTAATTGGTTGAGTTTTGTGTGAGATTTCTGGACATAAACATACACTTAAATTTTTTATTAAGCTTAATTGAGCTAATAACATAGGAGATTGGAAATTAGTGTTAGTTGTCGAATTTAACTGTCATTATTAGAGGACAGTGCCACTGTGCAGTGACTGTTTCAAGAATGTGTAGAGCTTGTTAATGAACTGCAAGTATGAAGACACTGTGTAACAAAGTCCTTGCTTCTAGGTGATATCCATGGGCAATACTATGACTTGCTTCGACTTTTTGAGTACGGTGGTTTCCCACCAGAAAGCAACTACCTGTTTCTTGGGGACTATGTGGACAGGGGGAAGCAGTCACTGGAGACTATCTGCCTCTTACTGGCGTACAAAATCAAATATCCCGAGAATTTTTTTCTTCTCAGAGGAAACCACGAATGTGCCAGCATCAATAGAATTTATGGATTTTATGATGAATGTAAGTACTTTCTGTATCTAAGGAAGGGTTACTTAAATTGAGATACTTGGTTATAAACTGACATCGTTCTGTTGTTAGTATTTATGGGAGTTTAGATGCAATGTTGTAGTCTCTCGTTTCCTATTTTATTAACTTGTTTTTATCTTAGTTTTTTCTTTTGGGGTTAAGAAGGTAACACTTGCCCTGCAGTATAATGATGCCCGGACTCTTTTTGTGCTATGATGATTAAATTAGGAGGTAATGGCTTCTTTAAGGTAATTATAATATTCACAGATAACTTATCTCTTAGTACAGCTCTGAGAACCTGTACAAATAGGTAGTTTTGTTTTTAACAGCTGTACTGAGACAATTTCATTCCATAAAATTCATCTTTTAAGGGTATAAATCAGTGAGTTTCAGTACACTTATAGAGTTGTGCAACCATCACTACAGCCCCCAGGCAAACAATAATCTACTTTCTGTCTCTATAGATTTACCTTTTCTAGATATTTTATATAAATGGAATCTTGCAGTGTACATATAATTACTTTTTGAAATTTGTAGTGGTTTTTTTTTCTCTTCTGGCACATCTGCACCCAGGAAAAATGGCAGTATTACCATCCTAAAATGTGCTGAAAGAAGAAAGTTGTTTTAAAATTTTTTGTTTGTTTTATTTTATGACCCCTCTTGGATTGTGTAGTTGGAAGGTGCAGGTTGAGTTGATAATTGACAGAAACAAGATTCTTTATGCCTTGAAAACAGCAGTTTTGGCAGAGGGTGTTTTTGTTGTTGCTGTTATTTTAAAAAGAAAGCTTTGTGTCTTTACCTCTACCCTCCTTTTGTGCTCATCATTTCTGCAGGAGAGGGTTCAGGCAGGGAGGAGAGGGTTAGTTAAGGAGTCTGAGTTACTAACTTGTGCCAATATGATTCTAACAAGGCCAGTATAGCATTGTCACTGTCTCCCTCCCCTGGAATGTACAGCTGACCCTTGAACAACACGGTTCGGACTTCATGGGTCCACTTCACTTGGATTTAGTATTTTTAACCTGCATAGGCGGACGACTGACAAGTTATATGTGGATTTTTGGCTGCATGGGGGGGGGGGGGTGCCCCTAACCCTCATGTTGTTTAAGGATCAACTGTAGTCATAACCTATTTTCTCAGGGTGTGGTGTTTTTTCACCTCAGTTTCACATAAATGTCTTCAGCTAGCTCATTTGTTTGCTTGGTCTGTGGTCTTGAGACCCAGCTAATAAGGTGAGGTGGGAGGGATCGCCTACAAGAAAACACCTGGTTCTGAACTGAGACAACTGAGTGTGGCAAGAAAGGTATTTGATGTTGACGGTGAGTCCAGAGAAGTACTGGTGAGGCAGTTGCTGCTCCTTAGGTAGTGAAATGCGAGGCAGGGAGCTTTATGACATTGTTTTAGATACTTGTTACAGGCACTACTTTTTAGATCAGGTTAAGAAAGGGTTCTTTTTAACACAGCTGTTAGCTCAGCAAGTACTTTGACATTTTTATTGAAGTTCAAATCTAAATGATACCTTCGTTGTGGCGTATATCCTATTGTAAAGATAATCAGCTACATCATTTTCAGTTTCTATTTAATGCAGAGGCCTTTAAAAATTATTTAGAAAAGCCTGGCTGGTGTGGCTCAATTAATTGAGCATCATCTCATGGACCAAGAGGTCCCAGTTCGATTCTTGGTCAGGGTTGCGGGCTCAATCCCCAGTAGAGGGCCATGCACGAGGCACCAATCAATATATCTCTCTCCCGTCGATGTTTCTCTCTCTCTCTCCCTTCCTCTCTCTCTCTAAAAAATTAATAAAAACATTTTTTTAAGTGTCCTTGGCATAAGTGTCTTTCATTTGATGGTTTGCAGACTTGAAAAAAAAAGTGTTGATATTTTATTAAAGTTTTGTTTTTATTGTAAATTTTATTGTGGCATTTTATTTGAATGTAGATTTCCATGGAGCAATTTAAAAACCGCTGCCTTAAGTAATAGGCTTATTTCCCAAGTATAACCAGCACTCTCCTATTTTCTTTCTAACCTTGTGACTACAGTCCTGGTAAGCCAGGGGTATCTACTGTTGGATAAAATGAATTGTGTGTTATCCTTTTCTGATACCAGAGCTTTTTGATCTGTAGTAATAGGAAACTGCATCAGGGGTTCTGGCTCAGAATTCTAGGATTTGGAAGCCTGCAGAGATGTTGGCAGTTATCCAAACGAAACCTTTCTGGAGCCAGATGTTCCTTCTGGTCTGAAACGGCCTTAAAGAGGAAATGTAGAGAAATATAAGAGAAAGCAGGGGCCCAGGACTTGGTTAAGAATGCTCAGAGACAACAAGAGGAAAAATCCTAATTTTTGATAGAGAAGCCAACAAAGATAGCAAAGAAATTTGCAAGAGATGCTGGAGTGTGTTGCATGACTAAGGACTTAAGGAGCAAAGTGGACTTCAGGAAGGATCGTCAGCACTGGCAAATCCAAGGGAGCCCTGCATGGCCGTTCATAGACAGGCTTCCATAGAGAATGGGACAGAACCAAAACACGTTTATAAGTGGGGGTTAAGACAGCCTAGTCCTGTTCTTGTATCATCATCATCATCATCATCATCATTTTATTGGAAATTAGAGGTTGTGATGATGCACAGGTCCCCTTCAGCCTTTTGTAGAGAGCTTCCCGAACTCCTTCCAATGAAGGAAGATACAGGACAGAGGGAATTAGTGGTCTCGTAAGAAATACAAAACCTCGTGAGCCTTGGTAAGAGCTATACCCAGTCATAGAAAAACAAACTATTAGGGAAAGAGGGAGAAGCCAAGTGTTTGTTGCATTTGCATTACATTACAACCTTGCCCTAAATTCCCGCTCCGGACTTGAATGGCCACAGAGGGGAAGGTGTGGTTCAAGAAGCCTGCTGCTTGGGCCATTCTCTAACTCAAAGAGGTATAGCTTTAAACCATTTGATGTCCCCAGGATAAGAAAGAAGAGACTAAGGACGAACTTGGTTTAGGAATCAAGATTGTGTTTTGACCTTCGGTTTTCCTAGTGTGGAGGGTATAGGAGACAAAGGCACTTCAACAATTGGGCCTTCCTCAACCAATTGAGACAGATTGGTACTTGCAAGTTTTGTGAGTATGTTTGCAACTTGCAACAGAATTTTCCTGTGGAAAAAGTGCCCTAAAGGCATGTTTCTGTCTGAGTCACCCTCTGGCTCCAGAATCCCTGGAAATTGAGGGCTGGTGAGGCGAACATGACCACCCTATACCATTGTTTCTGCAGGGAGCATTCTGGAGCATTCGTGCAGTGTTAGCAACAAATCCTGGATTGAGGAGTCTGTTTCCCTACAGTCGTGACTCCTACTAGAGTATTTCGGGACTGGGAATTATCTGGTACCAGTAGGTTACTGAAGGTGGTGTGAGAAAGATGGGTATAACTCTAAGAGGCTTCCTCAGGAGGATGGTAATGGCACATGTGTAAGTTCATCATTACTTTTAGAAACAGGAACTACCTGTGGGTTGAGATTGGACAAAACAGTCTAGATTCTAAACAATTTGTACTACCAAATAATTATTGGGGTTTAATAGTAATTCCTTTTTTTTTTTTTTTTTTTTTTATCCTCACCCTAGGACATTTTTCCATTTTTTGTTTAGGTAGAGTGGGAGGGAGAGAGAGGAACAGAGAGAGAGAGAGAAACATCGATGTGAAAGGAACACATTGAGTGGCTGCCACCCGCACAACCGACCAGGGTCAGGGACAAACTGCAACCGAGGTACGTGCCCTTAGCGGGAACCGAACCCGGGTCTCTCAGGACCGCAGGCCGACGCTCTAACCGCTGAGCCAAACCGGCCAGGGCTCCTTTTTTTTTTTTTCCAATACATCATGCAGTCAGAGTTGTTGTTTGTTTGTTTGTTTGTTTTTAATGTATTTATTTGTTTGTTTGTTTGTTTGTTTGTACGTGCCCCTAGTGGGAACCAAACCTGGGACTCTGGTCTGCAGGCCAATGCTCCAACTGCTGATCCAAACCGGCCAGGGCTTAATAGTAATTCTTGATCATTATATCTGGAATTCTAATTTCACACTTCTGTGGACTTTTAAAATGTTTGTGAAAATGTAAATTGTTGCTTATAGATCAGACATCTTCATGTATTATGTATTATTTCATTCTCCTAACCCTTTCCAGGGGATTTTTAATAAAAGCATGGTTTTTGTTTGCCTAAAAGGTAATCAGAAGCTTGCTTTGGGGTAAATTGTCCTCATAGAATGACTCTATAGAACACCAGTCTCTCTCTCTTTTTTTCTTCTTTACTTAATTAATTAATTAATTTTTGTTACAGATGTTTCCCCTTTTTCACCCACTGATCCCCTCCTCCCCTGAACACCAGTCTCTTTTTAACCATCTTAAAATTTTCACAGGTAAAAGAAGATATAACATTAAACTGTGGAAAACGTTCACAGACTGCTTTAACTGTTTACCGATAGCGGCCATCGTGGATGAGAAGATATTTTGCTGTCATGGAGGTATATGTGGGCTTATTTTAATTCCAAATGGAACTCTGGTTTTTCATCCTTTCTAAAGGGTATACTTTGACATTTATGAGTTATCATTGGGATAACTTCTGCCAAGTAACTCTTATTGATCATGGGTCCACTTTGGCACATCCAGGATCATTTGGATAGACCTTTGAAGTAAGCAATTCATTTGTTACAGGGAATTCTAGGCTCTGTAACAGTTGGGCTTGAAAACAGAGCAGAAAGTATTTTTAAATATAAAATGAACAGTATTTAATATGCTATACCATAGATCTTCTAGAATACTGAAAATGTTAATAGACTTTTCTATTCACTTGGCCTATTTTTTGTCCTCTCCTTTCAGAAGTTTTCTTAGTTTGGATTTTAAAAGTTATTTTGCTCTGCTCAGTGGTTATGCGTTGTATAATGTAATTACAATAGTGATGGCAAAGAATTTGTTTTCATCTGTGGCCAGAAAATTAAGCAACTACACTATATTTTAATAAAGCCATTGTCCTTGTCCTCCTATACTTAAACTGCTTTGGTAGAGTAAGGCATGCAATTTTTATTTTTTTAATCATCACCCGAGGATATTTTTCCATTTTTCTTTAGACGTGGGGGGGCAGGGGGGCATCCATGTAAGAGACACATCAATTGGTTGCCTCCTGCACAACCCCAACCAGAGCCAGGGACCAAACTGCAACCGAGGTACATACGTACCCTTGACCAGCAGAATTCAGCCCATGACTCTAAACTCAGATGAGAGTCAGCTATATCTGAACTGGTCTTATAGATTTGATAGTCCTTGGATAGCACAAGTTTTCTAGAAGACTACATCACCCCTGAGCATCTGTAGCCTGTATGCCCAGTCATTACAAATGGTCAATAATAAAATCTGGAATATACAGTGTTCAATGCTGTCATAGCCGGGAAGCTGTCAGAGGAGTGGAAGGGTCATTTTTAAGTCACTGGATTTTAATTTCATAGGGCTCTGTAGAAGTAACTGTTTTCATATACTGTTTTAAATATACTCTGCTCACAAATTAGTGCTTATAACAAATTCCAGTGCTGATTTAGTTTTGTGTTGTTTTTTAAAACCAGAGTTTAATAAGAAAACAAACCCATGGATTTAATTTGAGCCTTCATGTTAGAGTCATTGAGTCTCTCTGTAGAAAAATGGAACTGTTAAAGAACTAACATCCTCTTTAAAGTTGTTTTCTTCAAATTTTTCTCATTTAATAGGTTTATCACCAGATCTTCAATCTATGGAACAGATTCGGCGAATTATGCGACCAACTGATGTACCAGATCAAGGTCTTCTTTGTGATCTTTTGTGGTCTGACCCCGATAAAGATGTCTTAGGCTGGGGTGAAAATGACAGAGGAGTGTCCTTCACATTTGGTGCAGAAGTGGTTGCAAAATTTCTCCATAAGCATGATTTGGATCTTATATGTAGAGCCCATCAGGTATTGATTTTGAATTTTACATGTACCCTTAAGAGCATGTATGTGAGCACAGATTTTCCTTGTTGGTTTTGGTGGGTAGGTATTACTTGTTTATACAAAATGTCTCTGGAAGTTGACCTGCAGGATGTCAGACTCAGCGGGAAATTAAGATTGGTTTTACTCATCTAAAATTTGCACCTACTCATACTGAAAACCTTTTCTCTCCAAGGTGGTTGAAGATGGATATGAATTTTTTGCAAAGAGGCAGTTGGTCACTCTGTTTTCTGCACCCAATTATTGTGGAGAGTTTGACAATGCAGGTGCCATGATGAGTGTGGACGAAACACTCATGTGCTCTTTTCAGGTAGAGGATGTTTTCAACATGGTTTCCCTTCATTATGTCTGGATTTCACTGAGAAAAAAAAAGTTACTACTTTCTGTCTGCTGTTCATTTATGTTACACAGACTAAATTGTTGTTTTCCCTTAACCCGTGTTTATCCTAGTTCAGTAATGAGTAGACAGACCCCTTTCAAAGGAAAAAAATTATAGAACCTTTTCCCCAGTGTCAAATTTAACTGTTTTTGCATTAAGTAGGTAAAAAATATATAGATAAGCTCTTTATGTTGATGCCCCCTTTACTATAAATCTAAAACTACATTGTCAGTGTCATGTTCAGCTAAAGTTAAAGCACTACCTGCTCATGAGAATAGTGCTAACTGCCATGTGCCAGATGTGCTGTGATGACTCGGGTGTCCCACCACTTCCGCTAGTGTGATTTCTGCTAAGCCTCTGTTGATTCACCATGACGTCATCTGGCCTTCACTTAGCACAAAAGCATCAGTTACACAAAGTAAAGTCTGCTTCTCAGTCTTTTTCTCCTTCACTTGTGTCAAACTTCTACGACTTCAAGCTAGCCCAGTCATAAACATAAATAGAGCCACTGAGGTCACGTGGTGGTCATCAGTTAAATGGAATAAAACAATTTCTTTACACCAATTATCAGGGAGAACTTGTAGCACCCCTAGATTGTGAAAGGATCCCCTTGGAGTTTGAGAAACCCCATTCTAATGTCAGAAGGGATAGCCTAACAGTACTGCAAGGTGTGACTTCAGAAAGTTGTCATTATTTTTCTGAGACAAAATAATTTGTCCAGATTATGTCTTTTATCCATTCATCATAGCATTTATTACCAAAATATTTGTCAGTGTGGTTCATGTTAATAAGCTATTGGGGCAGTTTTAAAGTCAAAACCTTCTTGAACAGAGATTTGAATGAGATTTAAGGGATCTTAAGAAGATTTAGGGTTGAGTCTATTTCTTAAAATGCACTTGTCTTTTGAATCTTTGCAGATTTTAAAGCCTGCAGAGAAAAAGAAGCCGAATGCCACGAGACCCGTAACACCTCCAAGGGGTATGATCACAAAGCAAGCAAAGAAATAGATGTCATTTTGACACTGCCTAGTTGGGACTTGTAACATATAGTATATAACCTTCATTTTTAAAACTGTCATGTGTGTTGACCAGCTTGCTCGAATAGTGTGTTCGTGGGGCTCTCCCTTCCATTTCTGAGTAAATGAATGGCATTTGCTGGTTATCACAGCAAATGAAAGACTCCACTCCCAAGAAAAAATGTTTTGTTTTTTAAATTCTCTCTTCTTTTTGCAAACAACTTTAATGATGGTGTTAAAGCTGTGCACCCAGGACAGTTTATCCTGTCTTGGGGTAAGAGTACAATTGACCTTTTTTAAAATTCAGTACAACTCATGAATAATGTAAATGCTCGTTTTCTTTAGGGTATAAAGAGAGCCCTAGGGTGCTCAATCTGTACATGCTATTGTCATGAAATGCATACTGTTGATACAAATCACTGTGAACCTTTTTTTTTTTTTTTTAATTTTTAAGAATTTGTTTCAAAGGGATTGCTTATTTCTCTCATTGTCTTGTCATGTACAAACTGGTTTTTATAGCTATCAACATTAGGAGTAACTTTCAACCTTGCCAGCATCACTGGTATAATGTATATTTAATTAAAGCACACTTTCCTCTACCGTATACTTAAAATGACGATTAAAGCCATTATTTTAAATGTTTGTGACTCCTTCCTAAAGCCAAAGTTTCTGTTGAAATATGTATTGACACTCCCCCAAGTACAAGATGGTATGGTTGTGTACCCATGCCACCTTCTTGAGGATTAAAACCAGGTTTTTGAGTTTGAATAGCAATTAATAACATAGTGCAGTTTAAGCTATTAATAATTAAAGTTAATAACATTTTGTACAATTTCCATATAGTCTATTCATTAAGTAATCTTTTTACAGTTGCATCAGGCCTGAACCCGTCTATTCAGAAAGCTCCAAATTATAGAAACAATACTGTTCTATACGACTGACCGATTATGCTTTCTTTGGCCTACATTCTTTATTCAGCGGTGAAGTTGAGGCTTATAAGTCAAAACAAAAGAACTAACTTACTATCCACCAGTTTATACAGAACTTAACCTTATCTATGACTTTTTTAAACTAAGATCTGTTAAAAAGAAATGTTTCAACAGATGACCGTGTACAATACCATGTGATGAAAGTGAATTCAGACTTATTAAATGACGAACTTGTTAAATCCTCTCGGTGTCAGTTTATCAGCACAATACACACAGGAGAACCATTGATGGCATATTGAATAGATATTAATGAATAAATTGCTCTGGAAACCACACAGTTTCTATTTGAATTTGTCTTCCTTCGAATAATCTGTTTTCCCAAGATGGATTATAATATTGATGCTCATATTCTCTAAGTTCTAACCTGGGTATAGCTAAGTTTCTGAAGTGGAGTGATGAGATTGAACTGTCCTCCCATGCTGTTTGGGGAGGAGTGGGACTTGGTGAGCTGTGACTTCATCTGTATTCATGGTTTTCTTTTTGTGTTCAGTTGGACTTGGCAGTAATTCAGGAGCTACTTTATTATTCTGACTCAACCAGCCATGTTTTCTTGCACTGTTCTTTGCTCTCTCCTCCCTCCCCTAATTGATATGGAATGCAGTGTCATGTCCTATCACATTTGTCACAGATGTGTCAAATGCATATATTAATTTCTCAAAGTACATTAAAAGTGGGTAAAGCGTGGGTCATTTAAAACACTTCTATCAAAAACTGCTCTCCCTTAGGGTTAGAAGAGGACCTGTAGTGAGAAGCTGTGTGAACTGACAGCGGCACACGGAGGGAGAGCACGGGTGCTGGGTTGGCCTCCCACCGGTGCTAACAAGCTCTGGCCCCAGGTGCTCCTCTGCCACTGACAGGCGTGAGCCCCCATGACCTCGTGCCTTCCTGCCCCACCTTCTGTGACAAACCCACAGTTGATTCTCCCAGATCGTGGCAGGAGGAAGATGAGCAGTAATCGATGTGTCAAAGGCCACTTTCATACATCTTGAATCTAGGCCGTGGGCATCATCAATTGTGTCACTTCTAAGATTTCAAAAACCTATGAAGTTGTAAAATTAGACCACTCTGCTTGGGTTGTAGAGGGTGGTATCTAGCTTAAAATTCCTTAAAAAAACAGGCATGGCCGTGGTTAAGTAGAGAACAAGGTCAGTCTCTGCTTTTCGGACAGACGATCTTAGAAGAGCTTCACATAATTTGAAACTAGTATGTGACACCAGAATTTGAGGCCTTGCCTTGTAAATCCCAGGCTACGCCAACCTTTCTCATTTGTCATTTATCTCCATGTGCACTTGAGGTCACATCTGCCTTTTGTGAGCTAGTGGTTACATTTGATCCAAGTCCTGTCTCCTCTCCTAGCTGTGTGATTTGAGTGAGGGGCTTAAATGCTAAGCCAGTGTCCCTAGCTAGAAGACAATATTCACCTCATTGTGAATCGTTGAGTGAAATAATGTGATATAATGAACTGCAGTTGTTTCATGTTTTTGACTATCTTGGTTGATTATAAGTAGCCACCTGCCTTTTGTTTGTGGCCCTGTTATGGCCTGATACTGAGCCATGGGTAGCTAGACTTTTCTGAGCACTGACTACATACAGAGCCGCCTATAGGTAAATTTCAGCAGATGCAAAAGAAATAACTAGGAAACATGAAGTTGCAATTATTAGTGTAATATTTTAAATTCTTGTTTCCTTTTAATTGATTGTTTTATAAAGTATTCTAGCTCTCACACTGACAACACCATTACAAAAGCATTCAGAAAGACAGGCGATAGACATCCTTAAATGTAGCTAAAAAGTCTGTGTAATACAGTTTAAATCCATCCATTGAAATTACTGATTGGTACCTGCTGGACTAGACCTGCCTACATCTAGCTGCAGTGAACAGCACAGATGTCACGTAGCATCCTTGCTCTTGAAGCACCTTGATTTAAAACTAGGGACTTCTCAAGTAACACACACACAAATGTGATATGAGACATGGGGACTAGGAACAAATGAGTGCTGAGCCATGGAGAAGGCCCAGGATTTAGACCATGGAAGGGAAATAACCTAAGTTTCCCAATGCGCAGTCATGCTGGGAGGTTGAAAGGAAACCAAGTTTGCTGGGAAGTGAAAATAGATCAGCTGACAAAGGCCTCATGCTATCCAGGAAGGGCATGAATGTGGTCCTTAGGACAGAGCTGGGGATCTGCATGAGGACAAAGAAATGTTTTGCTCACGTGTGACTAAGTAGAAGACAAAAAGAGAGCTCCCACAATAAAGGTAGGTGGTTTTTAGTTTTTTGTGCCCATTTCTCACCTCTTGGAAAAGAAACCCAGAGCTCGTTCAGCCTTGAAGCCAGTTACTTGAATCTGCGTGGATGACTCCGCTTGTTTCCGTTCAGATCAGATGTACACGAGCCTGGACCAGAAGAGTGCACCTCTGCTCTGCGCAGGCTTTTCCTCACCTATAAAATAGGGAACTAGTATACTCACTGGTGGGCCTGTGAGAATTAAACCCACGAAAAAGGTGCCTACAAGGACTCACACATTCAGTAAACAGCTCTAAGATACCAAAGCATATTTCTAAGACTTGCATCAATGGCCACGCAAAGGAACTTAAAAGTTACACCAGGAAAGCTTGGTCCAGGCACAAGCAAGTCAGTTTTCATTCACACTTGCTGGATTATGTATATGATCTTCAGGTGAAGAGTGCAAGTGAGGATGTACTGTCAGTGCCTTCCACCTTAATCCAAGACAGACCGAATAAAACCTAAATTCCTGGCATCCCTGAAGTAGTGCATGATCGATTGAGCACGGATACTATCATCCATCTGATCAGCACGATGGCTTCAGTGGCTGAAACCAGCATGCCTTTGAATTCACTGCAAATATCTGAATAAATTCCAGTACAGGTAAGGCAAATTTCTTGTGAGAATTATGTCCATTTTGTCAGTTGTTTGAAGTATAAATATATATTATAGGGTTAAATAAAACACTTGTTAATTATGAAAACTTAATCAAATAGAAAGTGATAATTAAATAAAATATATTGTTACCTAGATAAGTTCAGGAAGAACTTTATACTCTGATCTAACAAAAGTTGATAAGAATTATGCCCTGGCCAGTTTGGCTCAGCAGTTAGAGCGCTGGCCTGTGGACCAGAGAGACCCGGGTTCGGTTTCCGCTGAGGGCACGTACGTACCTCGGTTGCGGTTTGTCCCCGGCCCTGGTTGGGGTTGTGTGGGTGGCGACCAGTCAATGTGTCTCTCTCGCATTGATGTTTCTTTCTCTCTCTTCCCCCCTCTCCCTCCCACTCTATCTGAAGATAAATGAAAGGTGTCTTTGGGTGAGGATAAAAAAAAGAAAAAAAGTTGATAAGAATTGTAAAATATGCTCTGGCTCATTTGGCTCAGCAGTTAGCATGTCAGCCCACACACTCAGGTGGGTTTGATTCCTGGTCAGGGGCATGTTACCCAAGGGCAAGGGTCGCAGGTTTGATCCCCATGCAGGAGGCAACCAATTGATGTGTTTCTCTCTCATCGATGTTCCTCCCTTCCTTCTACTCTGAAAAAAAAAAAAGATTTTTAAAATACAAGGCATGCAAAACATTGGAAATTAAGGTGGCAAAAGTTTTTTAAGTACTTCCAAAAATATTCAGAAAGCATCTAGGGGTACTGTACAAGCTTGAGGTGAAAGGAATTGTGTAAAACAAGAGTCACCAACGATCGGGGAATTGGGAAAGACCTAGTCATTGTCTTATGAGGACACACTGTTCAGTTTGGTGGTAGGGCTGGCCAAGAGACACTTAATCTCCCACCAGCCTCCGGTAAAAGCATCTCTTCGTATCACAGGAAGAATCAAGTGATTGGTGGTACTAAGAAAGTATTGTTTCTGCCCATTGTCAAACTTGGGGATTCAAAACTTTTAATAATTAAATTATAAGACAGTTTTTTCCGATAGATTTCAAGTTCATTCTTGTGCCTCTGTCAGTTCTCTGACAGTGATATTGGCTGAGACCAAATATTGAATTTTAATAACCTTTCAACCAAGATGTGTATAGTTGGTGCAACTGTAGAACAAATTCTGAGGAGTCATTAAAAAATGCATTTCTTGCCCTGGCCAGTTTGGCTCAGCGGTTAGAGCATCGGCCTGCGGTCCGTAGAGACCCGGGTTCGGTTCCCGCTAAGGGCACGTACTTCAGTTGCAGTTTGTCCCCGGCCCTGGTTGGTCGTGCGGGTGGCAGCCACTCGATGTGTCCCTTCACGTCGATGTTTCTCTCTCTCTCTCCCTTCCTATCTGTACAAAAAATGGAAAAATATCCTCGGGTGAGGATTGAAAAAAAAAAAAAAATACATTTCTTTTTTCTTCTAGCTGCCCAATTAGCACAGTACCAAATACCGGGTCTCCCACAGAGGACGAGCCCGCACACCAATTGTTCAGGGTGGTGAACAGGAGAACAGTAACCAGGCATTGTGTTGGAGAGGCTGGCTCTTTGACCTTTCCAGCACAACCCTGGCAAGTTAGATAGGTGTGGTAGGAGAGCAGGTGGGACAAAGGGACGTTCTTGTGAGGTTGGCAGAAGTTCATATGCCATCTGCTGGAGATTTGCTCATTCACCAGCAGCACGAACCTTAAGAGGAGTCAAATTCCTTACCTTTCACCAAAATAAAAGCACTTCTTTCCAAATTTGATACCCCCTCCCCCCCAACAAACATCATTATCTTGCTTCTCATGTATAGTGTTGATCCTTTCAATTAAGGGATAGCTGGAATTGACTGACAGATCATACCCTCAAATAACCCCCCACCCCCTTGGGAGGCTGTACAGTGTAAATGATAAAATGCACAGATCAGTGCTGATCAGAGTTGGCTGGAGTTAGCTCACCAGCTTGGCTTTATTGGTTTCAAGGCTGCCCCCATGTTCTACTGTTTTAGGGCCATTGAGTATTGTACCCAGTGAGGAAGACCCAGCGATTTGAAGATTTGCTGCAGTGCAGATTGCTTATTGGGTGCACGTTTTAGTCACCAGGAATGTTGCATTTTTATGAGATTCTTTTTTAAATCGATGAACTTGTTCAGGTTGACCTGGGACAAGCGACTTCACTTCTCTGGGCCTTGTTTTTGTCATTGGGATAATATCTGGCAGTTGCCCAAAGATGGGGACTTCTGTACTTCAACCATCATAGACATTTTACGCTAGGCACCTTTGCCGTGTTCCTATGCAGCTCAGTGTCCTGGGACTTAGGGCCGCTCGTGGGATGGGAGTAGCAGCATCGGGAGGCCGCTCTGATGAGATGGCTGTCCTGCCTCTATTGTCCCTTTCTTGTTCATCCTCAGTCATTATTGCCACTGTCTGTTTTCATTCTGCCTCACATGAGAGCGCGGTTTACTGCTCTGCCCCCTGCAAAGGGCCTGCACCTACACTGCAGGGACTCCGCCTTCTCTCTCCCCCTCCGCTCCTGGCCTGGGTTCCTTGGATGCAAATGATAGAAACCAGCTCAGATATTGGAAGCAAACAGGACGAGCACCATCAGCCCATATCCCACCCCCACCCTGATGTGGGTGGATGCCAGCTATGGGCGGGCTGTCTGTCTCCCAGTGACTCCATTTGTGTCATGTGGCCACCTCTCAGTGGGATGAGGGGGGACATTTTGATGAATAGTTCCACTGGACCCAACGGGGTGAGTTAGTTCCCTAAACAGGAAGTGGATGCTGTTACCAAGAGAAAGTGAAATGGGTGCTGAGCACCAGCAAATATCCAAATGTCCAAATATGGGTGAAGGTTGTGTGTTCCCGGCGGTAACAGAAACTCTGACCCAAACGACAGTGAACTGTATTCTCTCTCAAAAACAGGTGTGTGTGTGGCTGTGGGGGTGAGTGGGTCAGTGACATCAGGGGCTCAGGTTCTTTCCACCACAAGCCAGGAGCAGGGGCGCAGTCCTGGCCCTATGTCCTGACCTTAACTGGAGGAAGGAGAGAGGCTGTCTCCTGGGCGCTCCTGAAAACAGCAAACTTCCCAGAGGCCCCTGCAGACTTCCCCCAGGTCTCACTGGCCAGAGCTTTGGGGTCACAGGCCCTTTCCTGAAACACAAGGACAGGGAGGGCTGGAGTCGCCAAGATCGATTTTGACTGATCACCTGGGTGGAGAGAAACGGGAATCTGACCTGGTCTGCTTCTGGACCGATGTGGAGCCCATCTGGGGGAACTTTCCCCAGCTGGCCAGGAGAGCTGACCCACATTGTCGAGAGTAGTTTCCATGAATGACCAGCAGGTGGAACAAGATGGTGCTGTTAAATCCTTCATTGTGAGGTTCTGTTCACCAGCATGAAAGTCAGAAGATATTTTCAGTGTCCTCTGCCCTCCTCGTCCCAACGGTAAGTCTCATGCACTTCAATAGGCAGAAAAGATTTCAGAGATTGGGGGAACTTGACCCACAAACTAGCACCCACTGCTCCTGCCACAGGTAGGGGAGGAGTCCATTGAGAATCCTGTGTTTAGAGCATGGTTCATGTTCTGGCTCCGCCTCTGACCAGCTGTGCGGCCCTGGAATGAACTTGCAGAACCTCAGCTTTCCCAATTAAATGTCACAGAGAGGCCTTCCCTAACCGTCCTACCTTGGTGCGGCCTCATCTCTATCCCCACCACTGTTCTCTGCCATAAACCCATGGTCATTTTTTTACAATACCAGTAATTTGGTCTTTGGTTGCCTCCCTGTTATAGAGAGAAAGTTTGATGAGAAGAGGAAGGACCTGTCCGTCTTGTTCAACTCTATTTTCTCGGTGCCTAGCACAGAGTTGGCACTCTGAAACTATTTGCTAAATGAATGAAAGATCAGCCAGCTAGCAAGGGAAGGGATGGAGGAAGGATTTAAACCCAAGTCTTTTTATGCCAACTCCTGTGCTATTGTTTTGTTTTGTTTTCCTACTCTTCCATGTGATTCTGAACTATGGAGTAGAAGTTTGAGCTGAGTATCAGAAAAGGGGTTCAGAATGAGCCATGATCTTTTAATGCAGCTACATGATCACACATAGGTACCCAGGCCTTGTGCAGATATCCTTGTGTGGCTGTCACTGCTGCAGATGACTCATGTCTGCTGGGAAAGGACCGTCTGGACCCAGACTGCAGATGTAACTCTGGGAAATCCAACAGAGCCCCTGCCGCGGCCCTGGCTGAGCCCTTTTCTACTTCTCTCTCCTCTTTGGCACATTCTCCTAGAGCCAGGACCTGGCTTCCCCCTAGGAAGGGAAGTGGTCAGCTGCAGCAACTGAAAACACTGCTCAGGAGGAACCAAAACTAGCAGAGGCAGCCCTCTCTCTTCTCACTGGGCAAAGCCAGAACTGGCCACTGCTCAGGCCTGGTGCCAGCACTTTTGGGCCACAAGCAGGCCCAGACCCAAGGTCCATGCATGCTTAGACCTTCCTTAGAATGTCCCCCAAAGGTGGGACATTCAGAAAGCTCCTGGGACTGACACATACTTAAAAGCAAGCAGAGCTTAACTCCATGGTAAGAAATGGAAAGGACAGGAGCTGGGGGAGACTCCTTTGTGCAAAAGAACTATTGACATTGCCCAAACCAGAGAACAAACCCTTCCTAATCTTTCTTGTAACATGGGTCCTCTTCTCGGGATAATTTTTTGAATACATAAAATATAGAATGTATCATATAAAAGACACCCACTGCCTTGAAGTTATTGAACTATTTTTAAAATTGTGATAAAGTAATATATGGAATTTTTTGTTAACATATTAAACTGTAAGAACTAAGACCTGGTTTAATAACTACTGTAATGTTCAAGTAGTGGTGAATGTAAGTTATACTATTTTGAGATATTTGCAAATACTATATTGTGACTTGAAAACATCAGTGATTTTGATTGACGACAAAGTCATGGGTACTGCTAATACAGCTGTTGCGTACATTTATACCTGAAGGAAATTATACATTTCAGTTAGAGGTTAATGAAAATAAAGATGTAATGTTTTCCAATCCAAGTTTATGGACCTCTTGGATTCTTTCTTTTGCAAGTGACTCGGCCCTAAGGATTGTTGGCCTCACCTCCCCACCTAAAATGGGAGCTCACAGAGAAGCAGGGCTGCTCCCTTCATCTTATACTAAGTGTCTAGAAAGGGCTTACCACACAGTAAGTATTCTGTTGAGTCTCTTGGATTTTCTGGGTAGATAGTCACATTCATTGCAAATAATAATTTTTCTCTTTTCAATCTTTATGCCTCTTGTTTCTTGTCTTATTGCATTGGCTGGCATCTTCAGTTCAATGTTGAAAAGAAGCAGTGATGGTGGGCACCCTTATCTTATTACATTGAATGCTTATTTGTTAATTTATGCAATTGCATAATTACATCATGGAATATAAAGCACCTACAGAGTATATGCCACACTCTGTGCTGGGATAAAGATGTAAGCCCGGCCAGTGTGGCTCAGTGGATTGAGTATCCCATGGACTGAGAGGTTCAGGACACATGCCCTGGTTGCAGGCTTGATCCTCAGTAGGAGGTATGCAGGAAGCAGCCAGTTGGTGTTTCTTTCTCACATCAATGTTTCTCTCCCCCAATTCCTCTCTCTCTAAAAAAAAATCAATAAAAACATTAAAAATAATAATAAAAATTAAAAAAGATGTAACACTACTGAGATCTTTTTCCGTCCACTGAGAAAAACTAAGTAGTAGAGGGATTTCAGTGAAGACAGAAATATTGAGAACTTTACTAAGAACAGGATCCTGTTCCCTCAGGGTCCTGAGTCCCAAAAAGTATGGCAATAGGTTCCTGCTGGTGGCAGCAGGCGTAGGTCTCCAGGGCACAGATAAGGTTGCAGCTGCAGGCTTTCCCAGGACCACTGCAATGTGGGGCAAAGAGGCAGCACAGGAGAAGAAAATGAGTGATGCCTCCAGCAGGGGTCAGCCAGAGGATCAAGCCAGGGGCAGGATGTGAGGCTTGCTCAAGCAGGGCCTGTTGAGGCCCCCATCTGTCTGTACTGAGCCTTTAACTACAGGCAGGACCAGTTGTTCATACTAACAGAGAAGTGCAGTTTCCAGATGGGCAGTTAGGTGAGGGGATATCTGATACCTGTTCCCGGTCCCTCTTCCTTCCCAACTGTAAGGGAGTGAACACAGAGGGCTGAGAAGGACCGTTCACTCTGTCCAGCTGCACTTGTCAAGGAGGGGAGTTATTAATAAAATATAAGGTTGACATTTCAAATGGACCAGACCATGCCTTAAGGACCGGAATGAGACTTTTGTAATCACCAAATGTTATTGAGGAGTCAGATCAGACCAAGATTTTTAAGAAAGCCTGCTGCCCAGCAGGAGGTGGGAGACAGGATTAGGAAGAGCAGCTTCAGTAGAAGCTGATGGAAACAATAACCCTGTGGTAGACAGAATACTGCCCCCGCCCCCAAGGTACTCACATCCTAATCCCCCCAACCTGTGAATATGCTACCTTAGCTGGCAACAGGAACTTTACAGACGTGTTTAAATCAAGGTGGGGTGATTATCCTGGATTATCCAGGTAAACCCTATGTAATCACAAGGGTCCTTTTAAGAGGAAGAGAGAAGGGTCAGTTCTAGAGAAGATGTGATGCTGATCCAGAGGTCAGGTGATGCAGCCAGGAGCAGAGGAAGGCAGGAGACCTCTAGGAGCTGGAAAAAGCAGGGAACCGATTTCCCACCCGAGCCTCCAGAAGGAACACAGCCCTGCCGGCACCTTGCTTTTAGCCCTGCAAGACCCATTGGGACGTCTGACCTCTGTGTTGTGGTTTTTCTAATTTGTTTTTCTTTATTAATTTTGAGAGAGAGAGGAAGGGAGAGGGAGAGAGAAAAACATCAATGAGAGAGAACATTGACTGGCTGGGCTGTGTTGTCTTTAAATCCTCACTTGAGAATATGTTTTAGAGAAAGGAAGGGGGTGAGAGAGAGAAACATCTGATCGGTTGCCCCCCCCCCCCCCCCCCCCCGTCCCTGCCCAGAGTTCAAACCCACAACCTAGGTATGTGCCCTGACAGGGAATCAAACCCCAAACCTTTCAGTGTATAAGACAAAGTCCAGCCCACTGAACCGCATTGGCCAGGGCCAGGGCTGTGTTGTTTTAAGCCATTAGGTTTGTGGTAACTTGTTGCAGCAGTGGTGGGAAACTGAATTCAACTCCAGGGAGCTGAGACTCCTCCCACCCCAGCGGGGAGGTGTGTAGAAAGGAGGTATAGTGGGCCCCTGCCCTTGGAAGTTTGGGACAAATGGCTTTTTGGGGAAGACCCAGCTGATTCCAGTGTGAGCAGTGAAATAAGGCATCAGCAGAGTGAGTCCTGGGGAAGCTGGGCAGAGGAGGGCCCACAGGGGAGGGGGTTACAGCTGGGCCTGCAAGGTGAGTAGTAGTTGGCCTGAGCAAGGGCTGCAGGCAGGAAGGCCCCCCACTCCTGCCAATACCAGTCCTGGAGCAGGGCACCCCCTTTTTACCTCCAGCTTCAGCCCCCTCTCCAGGGGCGTCCTGACAGCTTCAAGGCTGGCCACCCTCTTAGGACATTCTGCCCACCCTCCACCCCTCGCACAGCAGACACTGTGCACGGCCACTCGGCTTCCCCCAAGTACTCAGGAGTGTGGGGTGGGAGGGTGCCAGAAGCCAGGCCCCATTTCCCACGCGTGTGTGGTGGGAAGGGGATGGACCCGCCACCCCTCCAACCCGCCCCGTGAAGCAAAGGTTCCCTCCTCCCACCCCCTCCCTCAGCTCAACTGGGCCAGGATTCTCGTGACTGGCGACTGGCCCCGAGGGCAGGACCTTTGTGCATCTGCGGGGCTGCGGGGCCCGGCCAGGCTCCCGCATGTGCGGGGCTGCAGCGGAGCGGGGGTAGCTAGAGAGCCAGAGGGAGACCGACAGAAAGGCAAGCACGAGGCCTGCAGGACCCAGACCGGACTGAGTCGGCGGGCGGACTGGCGGGGGCGGGGCCACGGGGCGGGGGCGGGGGCGGGGCCACGGGGCGGGGCGGGGCCACAGGGGGCGGGGCGGCCGGGCCGGAGCCGCGCTCGCAGTTGCTGGGGTGGCCGCGGGCGAGCGGACCGCAGGGTAAGTGCTCCCCGGGCGGGTCGCGCCCCCTCTTGGTGCGCAGCCCCTTCTCTCGGCGCCCCAGCCCGAGCCCCTCGAAGAGAGAAGGGCGGGACCCCCGTTGTGCTGCGGGGGGTCCCGCGGGGTCCCAGCCCGCCCCCAGGTGCCCTCGGTTCCAGCGTTTCCCAGCGCGGGCGGGCGGGCAGTGATTTCCGCCCTGGAACCCCTGCCTCGCCCAGGGGTACTGGAGTCCATTGGAGGGGGAGGGCACTCACAGGACCTGGGAGAGATGCCCCTCTTGTCCGCGAAAGGACAGTATGACAGAGCTCCCCTTGTGTCTGGAGCTCGGGCCAGGTGCCTTCACTTCATCACAGCCGGGCAGCAGCAACAGGTGAGGAATATCCTTGTCTCCCTCCCACAGGTGAAGAAACCAGGGCTCAGAGAGGCCAGGCCGCTTGCTTGAGTTGCAAAGGAGGCAGAGCCAGAACTTAGACCCAGGTCGGTGCGAACCCCTAAATCCATTTAGTCCTCATCCCTGCCCTGGCCCCCACCCTGGCTGCAGGGAGAAAAGTGGCGGGTAAAGCCAATGCGGGGTAAGCCCAGAGGAAGCGGCCAAGAACCAGCCAGCCCATCCCTGCAGGAAGGACCCCTAGGGCAGCACATTACTCAACTGAGTGAGGGGTTCGAGAAATAAGAATGGTGGGTGGGGGCCAGGTCGAACTTCAGGAGTAGGGAGAGCATCCTCCCCCCTCCAAGAACTCCCAGGCCTTTACTCAGCACCTCCTCTGGGCACGGGGGGGCTCTTGTGGGCTTAGCTATGGGACCTCACCTCTCGGTGCCTCAGTTTCCTTCTTTGTCCCGTGGGGTTAGGCATGGCACCGACCTCACAGAACTGCTGAGAAGATTAAATGAGATGATTGGTATGAAGGCTTAACCTAGCACCTGGACCATATTGTAACCCCCTCCATCCCCATTCTTGCCCCTCTGAGAGCATTTCTGTGCCCTGGACATCTTTAACCTGAGGTCAGTCAGAGCTGTCTGAAATCTGCAATGTTTCCGGACACCCCACCAGCAGCTGAAGCTTCTTGAGTAAGACCAAGGCTGGGGGTGGCAACTTCTCCCTGCTGTGACCCTTGGGAGGACAGGCTGGTAGGAGTGGGAGTTTGAAGATCTTGGGACTGCAGAACCAATCTGCACTCCCCAAGCCCTCCCCCACCACTGGTTTAGCAAGAAGGGTGAAGCCAAGACTATTCTTGCAACCAAACCCTCTCTTCTTATCCTGACATCTAGGCCCACAGCAAGTCTACCCCTCCCCTCGGCACATTCTGTATTTGGCCGTTCCCACCTCTGCCCCCCAGGTCCTCAGCGTTGATTGGGCCTGCTTGAGTCTTGACTCTCCTCTCCTGCCTCTTTCCCCTCACTCTGCTGCCCATCGTAGCCACAGTTCTCTCCTTGGAGATGTTGAGTTCTCTGCTCTCTCAGGGCCTTTGCATGTGCTGCTGCTGCTGCTGCTGCTGCTGCTGCTGCTGCTCCTGCTCCTGCTCCTGCTCCTGCTCCTCCTCCTCCTCCTCCTGCTCCTCCTGCTCCTCCTGCTCCTCCTGGCACTGTTCTTCCCTGCCATCTTCTTGTGACTTACTTCTCTGCAATTCAGGAACCACCATAAAAGACTCAGAAGTCTGCCCGATCGCCCCACTGCACAAGCTACACTCACCTCCTCTCTGATGCGTTACTTTTTTCCTTCCCATGCTCAACCCTGGATGATATTACCTTGCTTATGTGTTTCCTTGGATCCTCATTTGTCTTCCCAGCTAAAATGTCAGCCTACAAGGTTGCTGACCTTCTACTTGCCTCTTCATTTTGGAGTCCCCAGAACCCAGCATCGTGCCTGGCACATAGTTTAAGTTCTGATGGTTTTGTGCAATTGCAAGAAGTGCGTGCAGCCATGAAGAGTTCTACTTCTCATTGCTTAACAGCATTCTTTCTATATTTCTACACAGACCTCAGAATTGCCATTCCTCCTAACTGCCCACTGCCTCCCTGAGCCTTCCTAACGTGGGGCCTGCGTGCTGTTGCCAGGTTCTAGCCATAACACCAACTTCACTTGAAACATTTTTGTCCAAATCGGACCTTTTTTTTTTGCTACCAAGGGATTTCTTCAAGATATAGTTCCCAAACTGTTGAAGTCAAGGATATGATCATTCTGAAGGCACATGCCACGTGCCACCCGATGGCTGTTTAGAAAAATTAACCCCAGCAATGTGTGCAAGTTTTTCTATGGTCCTACAAGCATTGGGTGTTCTTGTTTTGTCTATTTTAATGGCGAGGTCATGCTAGGTTTAAATCTTCTGTTGTTTGAATTATTGAAGCTGGGTCTTTTTCAAGTTCGTGCTAGCTCTATTTCCTGTCTTGTGAAGGAAGGAAATCTCCAGGGCACCTTCATTCTTCCCTTTACCTTCACTTGTGGTGATGGTTCCACGTGAGCTCAGCTCATGACGGCCCCCAGGGACTGGAACCGGAACCCATGGAGCCCAACTGTGCTGGTTGCAGAAACTGCTCTGCCAATCAAGCAGCAAAAAACTCTTTGAGGGTCCCTGAGCATGGTACTGTGGGGAGAGAAAGAACTCTCTTTTTAAGTCTTGTGAACTTTTTTTTCAAAACGGTAATTTTTTAAATGATAAAAGTAGCACACGACGTGCAGGGTTATTCATTGGAACATCGGGGAGCACGAGATTGGGGAACAACCTGCATGTTGATCACTCGTGGGCCATGCACATTCCTCCAGCGGAGACCCGTGCTGTCATTCCAAGCAGCACACTTGACCTTGAACACACTGACACGGAAAGGTCTCCGAGATACTGAATTCATCTCCTGGGGCTGCTGTGACCAGTGACCACCATTTGATGGCTTAAAACAACGTCAGTGTATTATCTCAGAGTTCTGGGCGTCAGGTGTCCAAAATCAGTCTCAGCTGGCTAAAATCATCGTGTTGACAGGGCTGTGTTCCTTCTGGAGACTCAAGGAGAAAATCTGTGTCATTGCCTTTATCTCGGCGGTTCTCAACCTTCCTGCTGCCACGACCGTTTAATACAGGTCCTCATGTTGTGGCGACCCCCAACCATAAAATTATTTTAGTTGCTACTTCATACCTGTAATTTTGCTACTGTTATGTCTTAGGTGACCCCTGTGGAGGGGTCATTCGACCCCCAAAGTGGTCACGACCCACAGGTTGAGAACTGGTGCTTTACCAGCTTCTAGAGGCCCCCCGCATTCCTTGGATCATGACCTCTTCCCTCCAGCTTCAAAGCCAGCAGCATAAAATCTTCATATTTCTCTCTGACTCCAACCTCAGCTTCCACAGTCACATCTTCTGTGTCTGATTCTCATTATATTGGGCCCACCAGGGGTCTCAGGATCCTTTAGTATTTTATTTTATTTATTTATTTTTTTGAGAAAGAAACATCGATTGGCTGCCTCCTGCACGCACCCCAACCAGGGATAGAACCCGAAACCTGGATAGTGCCCTGACCAGGAGGGAATCAACTCTGCCGCTCTCTGGTCTACAGGATGACACTCCAACCAATTGAGCCACACTGGCCAGGGCTCAGGACCCTTTATTTAATCACATCTGCAAAGTCCCTTTTGCCACGTAAAGGGACATATTTACAGGTTCTGAGGACTAGGATTAGGAGGTGTGCATCTTCAGGGGCCGTTATTCAGCCTACCACACCCAAAAGGGAATAAGCAAGGTTCAGAGTCGAGTGTTGGGCTCACATTTGTTTAAGGACAAAAAGAAACCAAAAAAAGAAATATGCATTTGCCCTGGTCGATTTGGCTTAGCACTTAGAGTGTTGCCTGTGGCCCAAAACGTCGCTGGTTCAATTCCAGTCAAAGGCACGTACCTCAGTTGCAGCTCTGTCCCGGGACCTGGTCAGGGTTGTGCGGGAGGCGACCAGTCAATGTGTCTCTGTAGCATCGATGTTTCTTCCCCTTCCCCCTCTTGCTTTCTCTCTCCCCCCACCCCCACTCTGTCTGAAGATGAATGGAAAAATATCTTTGGGTGAGGATTAAAATATAATAAATAAATAAATGCATAGGTAATTGTTTTCACATAGGTGAGATCGTACCCTATGCTATAATGTGATGGGGAGGGGAAGGGTACTCTATCATTCACGTCTTTCCTCATCCACATAGGAAGGTTTAACGGCACTGCTGTCTCCCACTGCTCGGATGCACCTTCACTGACTCAACCAGACCCCTATTGGTGGACATTTAGATTCTTTGCTTCTTTCCAGAGCAATCTCAACACTGCAATCTATATGTCTGGGGTTTTTTAAATTGGAGTGAAATTCACATAATGTGAAATTAAGCATTATAAAGTGAACGACCCGGTGGCATTTAGTGCATAGACAGTGTTGTGTAATCACCACCTCTATCTAATCCCAGAACGTTTTCATTGCCCTAAAAGGAGACCCCATCCCCATTAAGCTCTCACTCCCCAACCCCCTCTCCCCGCTCCTGGGCAACCACCAGTCTGCTTTCTGTCTCTACAGTCACATATACTGGACGCTGCATATCAGTGGAGTCATGTGATGTGTGATGTTATGTGTCTGGCTTTTTTCACTTAGCGTAATGTTTTAGAGGTTCATTGCTACAGTAGCATGTGTCAGTACATTTTTTTTTTATCCTCACCCGAGGACATTTTTACATTTTTTGTTCAGATAGAGTGGGAGGAAGAGAGAGAGAGAAACATCGACATGAAAGGGACACATCGAGCGGTTGCCACCCGCACGACCCAACCAGGGCCGGGGACAAACTGCAACCAAGGTACATGCCCTTAGCGGGAACTGAACCCGGGTCTCTCTGGATCGCAGGCCTACGCTCTAACTGCTGAGCCAAACCGGCCAGGGCTCAGTACATTTTTTTAAACTAATTTTTATTGAGGTCTGATTGACATACAAAATTCTATTAGTTTCAAATGTATAACAATGATTCAATATTTATACATATTACAAAAGTATTTCTTTTTATGGCTGGATGAAATTCCATTGTATGGATATAACATCTTTTTTAAAATTTATTTTTCTTTGTTGATTTTAGAGAGAGAGGAAGGTAGAGGGAGAGAGAGAGAGAGAGAAACATCAATGAGAGAGAACATTGATGGGCCGCTTCCTGCATGCCCCCCACTAGGGTTCTGGCCCACAACCTGGGCATGTACCCTGACTGGGAATCGAATTGGAGACCTCTTGGTGCATGGGTCGATGCTCAACCACTGAGCCACACCAGCAGGGCTGGATATAACATCTTTTATTTATCCACGTATGTAAATGGACACTTGGGTTGTTTCCACCTTTCAACTATGAATATTTGTGTGCATGTATTTGACTGGGTGCCTGTAGCCATTCTTTTGGGTACATATCCAGGATCTACGGCCTTCTATATATGCTTTGAGCTTTACTATTTTCAGACAATTAATCAAGTTTCTAAAAATTTGTAAGAAAGTGTTGCAAAGCACATACCGAGGTAAACGATGGCAGGATGACACATCTGAACAAATGTTTTCTTGTTCTCCAGATCCAGACACGACAGGAAAATGTCTACCAGGGACCAAAAGGTAAGTTGATTCTGAGACCCTCAAGCCTGGAGGTCATTGTTTGGCATTTCTGGCAGGATTGAGGGAAAACACCCGTGAGTTCCAGTTACTGTTCTTAATCGGAGAAAGGCAAATGGGAGCAGCTCATTTCCTTCATTTGCAGTTCCCCATTAAATTAGGCAGACTCAGAAAAGCCAGCGGAAACGCTCCAGGCTGTTATGCTGTGGTGAAACCGACCCATTCCTACCTCTACGGAGGGGCTGGGTCAAACCGCAGCGCTGTCCTGGGGGAAAACATCGACGGTGTGTATCAGGAATCATGCAAATATTTGTGATCCAACCTGGTCATCTCACTTATGGGAAAGGAAATAACCCATGAACAGGAAAAAGTACCATTTCCGGAACCATATTTCGTAGCACGTAAGGCACCCGTGACTGTAGATACACCATTATTTTAGGTACTACGGAGAAGAAAAGAAACAGTGTCACCATTTGCTGGGATGTAATGTGACACAGCACTGAAACTGGTCAACTGTGAAACATTCAGATTTCAGAAATGTTAAAATGTGAGAAAATGTGGTTTTAGAATTGATGGTAAAGGCCCTGAATATGAGGGACAATCAGAAAATGCAATTGTGCCCTGGCCGGATTGGCTCAGCGGTTAGAGCGTCGGCCTGCGGTCCTGAGAGACCCGGGTTCGGTTCCCGCTAAGGGCGCGTACCTCGGTTGCAGTTTGTCCCCAGCCCTGGTCGGCTGTGCGGGTGGCAGCCACTCGATGTGTCCCTTTCACGTCGATGTTTCTCTCTCTCTCTCTCTCTCTGTTCCTCTCTCTCCCTCCCACTCTACCTGAACAAAGAATGGAAAAATGTCCTCGGGTGAGGATTAAAAAAAAAAATGCAATTGTGAGAGCAGTTTCTTGGCCATTAAAAAGGTATAAATAGCCTGGCCGGTGTGGCTCAGTGGTTGAGCATTGACGCCTGCACCAAGGGGTCACCGGTTCGATTCCTGGTCAGGGCACATGCCCAGGTTGTGGGCCAGATCCCCAGTGAGGGGCATGCAAGAGGCGGCCAATCGATGTTCTCGCTCATCGATGTTTCTATCTATTTCTCTCTTTCTCTAAAATCAATAAAGAAAATAAATTTTTTTTCTTTTATCCTCACCTGAGGACATTTTTCCATTTTTTGTTCAGATAGAGTGGGAGGGAAGGAGAGAAAGAGAGAGAGAGAAACATCAACGTGAATGGGACACATCGAGTGGCTGCCACCCGCATGACCAACCAGGGCTGGGGACAAACTGCAACAGAGGTACATGCCCTTAGTGGGAACCGAGCCCGAGTCTCTCTAGACCTCAGGATGATGCTCTAACCACTGAGAAAACCGGCCAGGGCAAGAAAATAAATTTTTTAAAAAAGGTATAAATAAGTGTGATGCCTATAACTAGTGGGAAAAACAGGATACACACTTGTCTTCAGTCTTTGATTATAATTGCAAAAGACATAGATTAGGAACAGATAGGTAGACGATACGTTTGGAGTGTGGGGATATTATGAATTTATTTCTTTTTGCTCATGTTTTCACAGTATTAATGAAAGAAATTGATCTAGGGGAAAGGTCTGCTCATGGGGGTGAATGACGGCAGGTAACGCTGGGGGTGGGGGTCCAGATGAGTTGGGGTCTAAATGAAGCTAGGGAGCTTCAGGGACATGTCGCAGGGGTGAGGTGAGGCCACAGACACAGCAGGGGAAGCGGCGGGTGGGAAGCATGTTTGCCATCACACAGAGGCCATCGGAGAGCCTGGCCCAGGGGCATTGTGGGGAGCTGGGGAAGACTGGGCCAGGACCACTTGTAGCAAATAAGCCTCTTAACTGATTCAAAGAACAAGTTTCTTTCAGTACTCTTATGGAGTTCATTGTTTCTAAAAACTTTTAATAGGATTGCTTTTAGGAGCTTTGTAATTTTCCAGCTCTCCTTGTTTTTGAGAGGAAAACAACTATGTTGTAGGAGAAAGTAGTGGGTTTTTTAGCCATGATCAGATCTGCGTTGCTGTAGCCAGCCCTGCAGAAAGGGGCTCAGCAGGCTGGGCTCAGGCATCGGGGTTCGTCCATGATTCTGCACGGTTCCAGTGTGCAGCCAGGACCGAGAGCCACTGGTTCGACTGTGAGGCAAGAAAAATGGGTGCCCTGAACCCCGTTTATCCTGTCCTTTCCCGGACCAAGCATCACTAGGACATTGGAGGACAGAGTCACCCCGATGACTCCTTCACTCTCGGGATAGGTCTTACTATCCCGATGTAGCTGGATGACTACATTTTCCTCTTCCTGTGCTTTCGTTTTCTTTTTGTGCTTTTGTAAACAAAAGGAGGGGGCTCTGGGCCAGGCCGCCTGCATCAGAAACCGAGCTCGGTTTCTCACTGGCTGTGTGACCTGGGCACATTTCTTGGCCTCTCTGTTCCTGGTTCCCTCACCTGTAAATGGAGATTTGGGCCCCCACTTCATGGTGGTCTTGCGATGTATTATGAAGGGCTTTGCAGAACTCAGAAATGGCAGGTGCTCTCGTCGTAATCAGTATGATTTCCACTACTGTAGATGCTGTTTCCCCCATCGCCTCCACCCAGCCTCATGATCACCTTGCTGAGTTGGTAGACTCTTATCAGGACAGGAGGGATCCTGACCGTGCAGGAAAAGGGGAGGAATGTTTGCAGCTCTGGAGAGTTGGGGGGGGTGGCTGGTGCTGCCAGTCTGGCCCCTCGACCCATAAGCAGCAACTCCTACCCCCAAAGCTGGTCAGCCGTCACTAGTGGTTGTTTCTGTGAACCTCAAACTTCCTCCCCACCCTAGAGAAGGAAAAACTGTTACGCTTATTTAAAGACTCGCTGGTTTTAAAAATAGACGTTCCTCAGAACACAGACCCCCAGGGGCTGGGGGTAGGGGAGCCCGTGCCAGGGGTCCACGAGCTTGCTGCTGGGAGTCTTGCTGCCAGGATGCAGTGGACCCTCCAAGTATGTTTAGTGGAGGGTCCAGCCACAGAGGATACTGCCTGGATCCCACCTGGTCTCTGCCCTGATGGGGGCGACACACTCCAACAGTCACACACAGACAAACCTGATTCCGCAGGGAAGGAGACAGCCCCTGGGTGAGTGCCACAGGGGAGGCACTGGTCAGCCTCCTGGAGCTGAGCTGCTTGAGAGAGACCTCCTGAAGGGGGTGAAGAAGAGGCGTGACAAAGTGGGGGAGGGGCAGGAACTCTAGGCAGGGGGGGGAATTGCCGAGGCCCAGTGGTTGAGCCCAGAGGCTGACTAGACACTGGCCCCCGCAGAGGATGGTGAAAGGTGGGGTCAGACGGGCGGTGGAGGCCACAGATGCAGAAGACGCACGGGCCTCTGCGAGGCACTTGGGTTTGTTTTCCTCTGGTCCGTGGGCCGGCGCGCTAACCGCTGAGCCAAACCGGCCAGGGCACTTGGGTCTATTCTTAAGAGCAGTTGGAAGCCAAAGAAGAGTTGTTGTTTTTTATCCTCACCCGAGGACATTTTTCCATTTTTTGTACAGATAGAGTGGGAGGGAGAGAGAGGAAGAGAGAGAGAGAGAAACATCGACGTGAAGGGACACATCGAGTGGCTGCCACCTGCACGACCAACCAGGGTCGGGGACAAACTGCAACCGAAGTACGTGCCCTTAGCGGGAACCAAACCCGGGTCTCTCCGGACCGCAGGCCGACGCTCTAACCGCTGAGCCAAACTGGCCAGGGCCAAAGAAGAGTTTTTAATAAGGGAGTGTGTCAGAGGTCCCCAAGATCACCCCAGGTTCAGTGCTGCCCCAGAAGAGCTCAGAGAACTCAGCCTACAGTTTGACTGATGGCTATGGTTTATTATAGCGAAAGGACGCAAATTAAAATCAGCAAAGGGAAAAGGTGCATGGGGTGAAGTCCAGAGGACACCAGGCTCCACCTGGAGTCACACGACACGCTCAACACTCCAGCAACAAGCTGTGATGACGCGTGCGCCATGCTGCCCGCCAGGAAAGCTCATTAGAGACTCAAGGATTTTGTGGGGGGCGGCTCCATAGTACGCACCTTCTGCCTAGCAGACTCCGGGACGGAAAGCAGGTGTGTAACATAAACCACATCGTTTACACAAGCAGTGTAGGCACTGTGAGCTGCTCCCATCAGGGGATGCTAGGAGCCTCCCGGAACCTCAACTTTCCAGGGGCCAGCCAAGGCCTAAGCAGGTTCTTCCAGGGCAAGAAGCCTCGGGCCTCTTCTGCACAGAGAGTGACATGGTTATGTTTGCTCATGAAAATATAAGAAAGAAATGGGCAGCAGTGAGGAGCTGGTTCCATCTCCAAGGGACAGGAGGACACAGGGCCCTGGCAAGAGGGTGGCAGATTCCAGCGTCATTCAAATGCTAAAGTGCCCCAGGCTTATTGATGGGTGGCCTGTGGGTGAGGGAGGGAAGGCGGGATTGGAGACACTGCCTGGGTGTGTCTTCAGACGCCTGGACCAGAAGACAGGACACCCAGGTGTATGTAGATGGACCGCCCACTGACTGGTGGCAGTTGCCATGTTACAGAGCCTCAGTTTCCCCAGCGACTAACGGAGCGAAGATTGCATCTTAGAACCTTGATTCCATCTCTTACAATGGCAACATTCTCTCTGCTTTAAAATGCAGCTCTTCTGCCCCATCTTCCCCGAGTTGGCAGAGCGCTTGGCGAGGACAGAGGTGGTAGACTTGAGTTCGTACGCCAGCTCTACCACCGATTTTTTTTTTGTTCTTGTTTTTTTTTCATTTTATTTTATCTTCTTAATTGGTCTTTTTATTTTATTTTTTAATTATATTTCTTTATTGTTGAAAGTATCACATATGTCCCTTTCCCCCTCCCATTGACCCTCTCCTCCCTGTTCCCACCCCCAACCCCCGCCTTCACTACACTACTATCTGTGACCATGGGTTATGTATATATGCTTATAAGTTCTTTGGTCTCTACATGAACAAGTTCTCAGGGTAAGAAATTGAAACAATAGTCCGGCC